GATAACCAGAGATGGTAAAATTACAATATGAGAAACTTCAAAATGGTGTTAAATGGTAGTAAACGCAAATACTTTTTAAACATTGCTACTTTAATCATAATAAATTTTGTTCAGTGTTGGTTGGTTGCTTTTGATACAGAGGGCCTTGAGAATTTGAAGTTTGTCTTTGCAATTCACTCCTGTGGAAGATCTCAAAGGAGACCGAATATACTTGGGTTAATACAAAAATATGGCAATTTTTTTGATGAATTTCAGCTTAACATCAAAAATATAATTAGAGAATTAGAAAGGATTATTATAAAAATAGATGTAATATGTCGATATTATTTAATGAAACATGTTTGAATATATATATATATATATATATATATATATATATAAAGGATCAAAATGAATAAAATACAAAAGGAAAACTTATTCTATTTATATATATATATATATATATATATATATATATATATATATATATAGTTTAAGTTAAAAGATGAATCAAATTTATTTGTTAAGGATACTTTTAAATTTATTTATACATTTCAGATCATTTGGGGTTTCCAGTGCACACAGGTGGGGGTTCAAAAGTAGGTATACAGTAATGAAAAACAAAACATGCATATATATATATATAAGTAAAATGCTTTGTCACTTAGCTGATTGGTGTTATTTTCAGCATTCAACTCAGATTTTCATAGATGGACCCTTCAGGAATCACTCTGTCTACTCATCAGGAAATATATATATATATATATATATGTTTATGGACAAACTACACTGCATAATCTTATGATTGCTTTAGACATAAAACTGCCAGTCATCAAACAGTATTTATTTTCATATATTATATATATATATATATATATATATATATATATATATATATATATATAGATATACCTACACTCTGCACCCAATATTAAGCTCTTTTTCTATGTTTCATGTCCTTTCAGGCCATGGACTATCACTGTTTTCAACAATTTCTTGTCCTTTGTAGCTCTTTGTAAATTTTGTCATTTTGCTAACTGTTCTTCTTCCATCCATTTACACAAGTTGCTTAAGTAGATTATGCACTACTTTCCTCTGTTCTTCTTGCCTTCAATAGGTCTTGTGAGTGTCATATTTTCCAAGCCCCCTTTCCACATTATGTGCCTTAGAAATAAGTGTCCTTTTTGTTTCCAGTTTCTGTAAAACTTCAACACTGCTCACGTGTTCAGTCCATGGTATTCTCAGCATCTTTTTATAGAACCACTTTTTTGTTACCTCAAGTCTCTCCTTCATCTGTCCAGTGTTCACTATATAAGATGACTGATATTATACAGTGGGGAATTTTTCTGTTTCTTTATACTTTGCTTAGCTTCATAAAGGCACCTTTTCCTCAATTTGCCTTCGTTTTTTTAGGTGTCACTTTTTCCATTCTGTTAAAGCACTTCTGAGGTATCTGAATCGTTTGCACTTGTTTGATTTTGATATCCCCAACTTGTAATTTGCCTATTGGATTCTTTCTTTTGCTTTGGTTTGGTTTATTTTGTTTTGCAGTGTATCAACCTCAATGAGTTATTTAATGCCAACAAGATTTTTAGGATAGGTCTGTATGAATAAAATATGTAAAGAAATCAGTTTATAGAACATCAGCTTCCATTGGCATATTTTTGTAAACAGGGTTTTTGCCAGGAATCAATTGTATTGCTGGTTATATATTTATTAAACTCTATTGCTGTTAGTTTTTTTTTTTTTCTTTTTTTTTTACTATAAAATTCTATTTTTATACTTTCATACTGCTTTGACCCCAGTTTTAGGATTAACTATTTATCCATAGCTGGGACCCTAACAAGTGCTACTACTCCTCTTCTTTTTGCTGACAACTATATAGTTTATCCTCTTTCAATTGATGTTTAATCCTTTCTGCTTGCATTCATTTACGACCTTACAAATATAGTAAATTTTAAACAATATTGTTATATGTATATACACTGGTGTGCGAAACTTTGGTAAATTAATTACTTTTGTTAATTTTGGTTCCCAGATCATTGATGGCAAGAAAACCACTTACTGTGTTTAACGTTAATGCTGTATGATGGATAATACAGCATCTTAAGTGATGCTGAAAAATACTGGGCTACCAGGGAAAAATTCAACTTCCAGTTCTTGGAAAAGGAATTTCCATTTTTTAATTTTTTTGCTGCTTTTAGCTTGAAAAATTGCCTCAAGTCAATGTAGCATTGAATAGAACAAGGTCTAGATTTTCTCATTGGGAATTTTGTCCCATTCTTCTTAGTAGGAATCACAAAGCTCTTAGAGATTGTCTGGTTTTCATTGGAGCACTTATTTCTTCAGTTCCCATCACAATGGTTCAATTATATTGAAATTAGGACTTTGTGCTGGACAGTCAAAAGTTGAACACCCTCATCCACAAGAAATCTTTTTGTTGCACATGATGTGTGATAAGATACACTGTCATGCTGAAATATGTCTCCATCTTTGTTGTCTGGCAGAAGGTTAGACTGCAGCAAACTAATATAGTTTTCACTGTTTAGGTTTTCAACTTTTATCACTGTTCTTCTACCATTGTATTTGATTCAACCCCACACAATTATGTGTCCACCACCAAATTTTATCATCTTTATGGTATATCTTGCATTACTTCTTTTCTCTACTGTTCTTCTAGAATAATCTCTTGCATTATAACTCTATTTTGTAAACATCAATATAAACAACATTTTGATACTTTCTAGCGTCTTCTGTTAGATGTTCTTTTGACCACTTCAATCATCTATTCCAATTTTTTTATTCCATTTGAAATGTTTTTTTGTAATACTCTGCATGATGTATCAACTAACACATTATTCCTCAGTTTTTTGGCTGTTAATTTTCGATTACCTAACAAAAGTCTCACAATCTTTCTTTCATCACATCTGTCTATCTTTTGAATGTCCTCAGTTTTCTTTGCACTTAAAACAATTCCAGTAGTAGCAGACATGTTTTCAATGGTTTGAACACAGTCTCTGGAAATTTCCAGCTGCCTGTCTATCTTTCATTGAGCGATCTTCCCCTTCAAAGTCACAACCTTTGTCTATATTTCAGCAGAAATTTTAGCCATGATTTTTGTCTAAAAAATCAAGCTAATATTCCACTACAATGACATGTCAAGGCTCCTTATACTCATGTTAATAAGACAGAACAATTCCTACTTAAAAATCTGCATATTATTATGACTTTATCATCTCAGATCTTTTATTGGACCAATAGTTTTGCATGGCTTTTTCAGCTTCCAGCAGCTTAAAGTGGTTTATCTTCTTTTACATGGCACCAACAAAAGCAACAAGTTATTTTTCAATCCTCACGGTTCACAGACACTACTGATAAAAATATACTGCTAAATGATTTTAATTTCTTCATAAAATAATAGTGTATCATAATTTTATTCAAAACTTTTGCATGCTAATATATGTATGTGCATACATGTGTATATTTGTATATATATATATATATATATATATATATATATATATATATATATATATATATATATGTACAAGTATTTATATATATTCATTCATTCTCATGTAACTAATTTCAAACAAGCCCACTTGTAGCTTCTCTAAAGACCTTATTCACCCTGTCCATTTGCAGATGCCTTCATTTATCAAGAATGCTTCAAGTCGAAGCAATGACACGAAGCAACATGATGCATTACTAACAAACTTACTTGTTGGTGTCTAAGTGCTTCAGTGTGTCCTACAGGCCTACACGATGCAAGAGTTGTTTATTACCTGGCAAGCTAACCACTTTTCCTTCTCAGTGTAATTGTTCGGATATTGTTGGAGATAAAGGAATCCCTTCGCAACCCACATGGCTACGATGAGTCAAACCCTGGAAGGTGAAATGGGTTTGGATATACTGACATAAAGGCATACCTACCTACCTACCTACCTACCTACCTACCTACCTACCTACCTACCTACCTACGGATATATCTGGCCTCTTATATGTGGAATTGAAATGATTTGATGACCAGTTTAGCAAACTTGTAATATGATGGATAAATAAAGTACAAATGGACTTAGATAGATAGATAGATAGATAGATAGATAGATAGATAGATAGATAGATAGATAGATAGAAATAAGGTAGCTTGCTGGATTGACAGAACTAGGTAGACTGAGATAGCTAGAGACATATACAGACACACTGACATATAGGCAATTAGAATGAGATCGATAGATATGAACAGACTGATAGATAGATAGATAGATAGATAGATAGATAGATAGATAGAGAAAAACTGACATACAGACAGGCAAGCAATCAGAATGAGATAGATACGAATAAATAGATAAAGTGATAGACAGATAGGAACACACTGAGATAGACAGACAGACAGAGAGATACAGACAGATAGACTGACTGAAGATAATCTTCTTTGATTAATACAATGATATTAGTAAGAAGTGAAAAAAAGAAGTCCAAACAGAATTGAAATCGAGATATATGGATAGATATATCTGCTTTAAATTCTTCTTGAGGGAGCCTTAGAGAGATACTTGAATATAATTGTCTTTGCTTGACCTAACCATGGACACAAACTAGTAATCCAGTATTGGACAGTAAAAAAAAAGGGTGGGGGGAGAATAAAACTAGAGAAGTGGGAGAGCAAGGAGTGCGAGAATAAAGAATGGGAGAGTAAGGAGTGAAGCAGCTGAAAACGGGATGGAGGAGGAGACAAAAGCCAGGTTGGAAAAACAAGGGGTGATGGTGGGTGGAGTACCACTTGCCCCTTCCCATCTCTATTTGCCCTGGAGAGCAGGATGTTAGCCTCTTCGTTTGCCCCTCTTTCCCTTTTCATGTTCCTCACTAGCTTATGCTTTATCTTCTTCATTGTCTTTACCTTTTCCTTTATGGCATTCATTCACTAGAGTCTCCCCTCCCCTCACCATTGACAATTGCGTCCTTAGCCACTTCAGCCCTGCATAGCCCCCAGATAACAAAATCACTGGCTTTTTAAAATCATGCCCTCAGCCCTTGGCCAAACACCAACTTTCTCTCACTATTCTTTGTCACTTTCTCTCCGTCTCACACCAACTAGCTCCTCTGCTGTCTGCACCATGTGTAGCCTTCCAGGCTCCACTTTTACTTCCGAGTTTAACCCTTCTGTTCTTCTAACATCTTAGTCCATTAATTCTCTTGAAAATGATTCCAATTTAGCTTCATTCTCTTCTTTATTTTCTGGTCATTTCATCATCATCCTTATTTTCGTCTTCCTCTTCTTCTTTTTCTTCTTCTTCTACTTCATCTTCCTCTTCTTTTTCTTCCTCTTAGTCCTCTTCTTCTTCTTCCTCTTCTTCTTCTTCCTCTTCTTATTCTTCTTTTTCTTCCTCCTCCTCTTCTACTTCTTCATATTCCTCTTCTCCTTCTTCCTCCTCCTCTTCTTCTTCCTGTTCCACTTCTTCCTCCACTTCTTCTTCTTCCTGCATCGTTTTCATATAATTTTTCCTTCTACTTTTCATCATCATCATCATCATCATCATCATCATCATCATCATCATCATCATCTTCTTCTTCTTCCTCTACTTCCTCTTCCTCTTCTTATTCCTCTTCTTCTTCTTCTTCATATTCATTCTCTTTTTCCTCCTCCTCTTCTTCCTCTTCTTCTTCCTGTTTCACTTCTTCTTCCTCCACTTCTTCTTCTTCCTGCATCTTTTTCATGTAATTTTTCCTTCTCATCACATCATCATCATCATCATCATATTTTTCTTCTTCACCTATGTATCATAGCTTGTATATTTCCTTTTGCCATCTTCTTTTTGTTTTTCCTTCTTCTTCATTTATGCATTACAGCTTTTATACATGTCTTTCTTCCTTTGTTTCTTCTCCTTCACTTATGCATCAAAGCTCAAAATTCAAACAAAACAAAGCAGTGACAATAAACAAGCATATATATATATATATATATATATATATATATATATACATAATTATGTATATAAATGTATTTATAGATAGATAGATAGATAGATTGTTTACCTGAACACAATATACATATATATATATATATATATATATATATATATATATATATATATATATATATATATATATTTGTATATTTAGGCAACATAACTTCATTCAAGCATGTTTCATTAAATTTATGTCTATTTTTTTTTTATAATAATCCTTTCGAGTTCTCTAATTATCTTCTTGATGTTTAGTTGAAATTTATCAAGAAAGGCTCCAGATTTTTTGTCAACACAAATACTATTGATCTCCTCCATGATCATCCTCAGGGGTGAATTGCGAAGACAAACATAATGTAACTGTAATTGTTGTGATAGTGTTTTTGCAAACATGCATAAATGCACGCTGTTATAATTATTTTAAAATTAACTGTTGGAGTTAAAATGTCCAGTAAAAACGTGTTCCCACTACAAGGGTGATAACCAGAGATGCTAAAATTGTAAAATGGTAAAATTTAAAATGGTTAAAAACATTTTAAAACATTACTATTATACTCATGATAAATTTTGTTTAATGTTCGTTGCTTGATTTTGATATATCTGAACCCTGAAGAGAACAATCCTTCTTAATTATGTTTCCCCAAGTGCTGCGCAGGTCAATAGATGTAATACACACTATTTAAAATAAAAAATGGTGTGTCTATTTCAAATACAGGTATCCCACTAAAAACACTGTTTAATATAACACACACACACGCACACATGTGTATATATATATATATATATATATATATATATATATATATATATATATATATGTGTAAGCAAATATATGGATATAGATCCGACAGTATGAAGAAAAATATATACGGAAAAAAAAACAAACAAAAATCCTTATATGCGATTATGCTGTTTCAATATTAATATATCAACGTCGGACGTTTTGGAATTTTAGGAATACGTTTTCACAGTGTCGCCCACGTGACGACAACGTGACTATGTTTAAACAGAGTGCTGATCTTATAAAACTTTCATTTAACTGTTTGGATAAGTCTTGTTCTTATGTCCATCGTCTTTGTCATGTTGAATTGATGATGTTAATTATATTTTATGAATATGTCCTGAAGATGGTTTATTAGACTGAAACGTCCGACGTTGACATATTAACATTAAAACAGCATAATTGCATATAAGGATTTTTGTTTGTTTTTTTCCGTATATATTTTTCTTCATATATATATATATATATATATATATATATATATATATATATATATATATATATGTATATAGTTTATGCAAAAGCGAAATAACAGCATCTAAGAATTTGAGTGAATCCTGCTCTCAGGGACATGATTTATTATTTTATTGTTAACTGTATCTTCCACCTTTAAGTCAGTCTTCTCCCTCACCCCTTACCCATCTATATCTAGATAGCATAGGTTAAGTTAAGCGGTGTTTAGCCTACACAGAGTGGGGTTAAGGATAAGGAATTGAAAATGGTACATCTAACTCCCTCATATCTTCTCTCCCACCTCATTTCCTCACTTCGTTAATTTTACATATGCTTGGTGCTTTTGGAAGTAAAGTCTGATGATCCAGAGCCCTTTAAAAGGGTTGTGGTGAAATAACTTATTACATGGAACCTTAAAGTGATCTGTTTTTATTCAAGCAAATATATATATATATATATATATATATATATATATATATATGAAGAAAAATAATATATACGGAAAAAACAAACAAAAATCCTTATATGCAATTATGCTGTTTAATAATATGTCAACGTTGGACGTTGCATATAAGGATTTTTGTTTGTTTTTCCGTATATATTTTTCTTCATACCGTTGGATCTATATCCATATATTTGCTTACATATATATATATATATATATATATATATATATATATACAGGGTGTGATGGATAAATTGTCTTCTGAATTAGGCAAAAAATAAAAATAAGACTGTCAAATATATTTTAACAGATATATTTGCTGAAATTACACATAAATATCTTGAAATATTAACTCTTTCTGAATCCTCTGCACTGTCCTCAGGTTGACACCCAAACACACTGAAATATTCATATTGGAGCTTTCATACAGTAGGCCATTTCCAAAGGTCTGGTGGGGTGAAATGAATCATGTGCAGTTGACAAAATGAAAAACAAACAAAATATATGCACAAAATTAAATATAAAATTGTGACAATATACCCACCACTCCTGGTGTGTGTGTATGTATATATATATATATATATATATATATATATATATATATATATATATATATAATTATTTATTTAAAAATATGATTCCAACAAGCTACATAAGAGTTCTCATGTTTCAAAACAAGAGCGGAAAACTTCAATATAATTATTTGAATTAAATTGAATTAAAGTACTAAGCTCTGTTCCATCTTCAAGCGAAATTTTTTCGGAATAACTTATTTCTGAAATTTACGCATTTTATAAGCATATTCATTATTGAAATCAAAATTTCTGTCATAATGGCTAGAGCAAATTGTTTAAAGAAAAGGGGCATAAGGGTTAATAATTTGTATCAATATCTCAGTTACATTCACAGGCGGAAGATAGTAAATATTTTCTATATATTTTTCATATATATATATATATATATATATATATATATATATTTAAAGATATTTTTGTAGGTACAAAATTTAATGATCGAAATAAAAGTGTAAAATTTAATATTACCAGACATATTAAAACTATATTAAATGATAAAAAAAACACTCAACAACAGGGGGGGGGAAGCAACCGGACTCGTCCCGAACACCTACAGTTCCGCCATATGCGAACATCTTTTAAATAGCAGAGATTGTGCTGCCAAATTCAGTGTCGACTGGTTCACCGTGTTGGCCCGGTCACACTCCGTATTTCATCTTAAGGTTCTGGAGGTGCTTTACATCGGGTCCCGCAAGCCTTCTTTGTGCAAATAACGTGAGTGTTTGCTGGGACTCGCTGTCATCTGCCTCTAGTTCCTTCTTGCATTTTACAGGTATATATATGTACATATATGTATTTTTTTTTCCACCTATTCTGATTGTACCTTTCTCTGTTTTAATTTTGAATCTCCCGTGGAAGCCTGATGAGCGGGAGCGAAACCGGTTGCTTCCCCCCCCTTGTTGTTGAGTGTTTTTTTTATTATTTAATATTGTTTTAATATGTCTTGTAATATTAAATTTTACACTTTTATTTCGATCATATATATATATATATATATTTCTTATTTATGGGCATATGGCCGAGTGGTTAGAATGTTCGCTTTCTGACCATGATACCTGGGTTCGAAACTTACCATGGTCAATTTGTCAGGAATGCGATTTCCTGATGTTATCGAGCTGGATTGAGGCTGATCCCAGCATGTGGAACCTTTGGAAAGTGCCTGAAAACCAAGCTATGGGTTAACCCAAGTCTTGTCAGTGAAATTTGGGAGACAGAACTCTTGTGGGCTGTCAATATCTGTGCTAACAAGTCATCATATCTGAGGGCTTGAGTGTAATGGCCTTGTTCAAATTTATGATCATGCTAGATAACACGCTCTCTCTCAGAAACTGTAATTATGGTCCACTTTGTATTGTTGCAGTATGAACCACAGGTGTTGAAGAAACACAAATGTGCCTAAGCAAGTATCTGCAATAGGGATTGGCTAGCCACCCTAATAGATGAGTATCCTCGAATATGAGTGGCCAGCTATTATATATATATATATATATATATACATATATATATATATATATATATATATATATATATATATATATATATATATATATTCAGATTCAGTAAAAAAAATATATTTGTAAAATGACAATATGAATAAAGACAAGGAAAACTTATCTTTTCTGTCATGTTTCTTCCTCTGATAAATTTATTAAGTGAATAAACATATATATATATATATATATATATATATATATATATTTGCAACAACTTGTAAGAGGCCATCTGACAAGGACTGACCAAAATTAACAATAAAAAAAAATGTAAAAACTACAGATAAAGTTCACTTTTTTCAGATGCAGTCATTCACTCCTGTAGTTCACTTCTACTAACGAGCAGAGATTTTTTTCCATGTTGGCTGAAACTGCTTGAGGAACCTAATTGAAATGATAAAACAAAAAATATTAATATACAACCCAGTGTGTCTGAAAATTTTAATATTTTCTTTTTCAATATATATATATATATATATATATATATACTTAACCTGAAAACTTCACCAACTTGGCCATGAAGAGCAGTAAGTCAGACAAGGCCAAATTTAGTGCCTTCAAGTGAAATTTTTCCTGTTATAGAATCTCTTGAATTTTTTTATCTGCTCAGCTTTGTATCTCAACACAAACAAAGAAAATTTTAGAATGAATTTTTTATTAATCCAACAGATTTTTATCACTTTAAATGTTCTGTTTAGTGGATACCGATATTTGAGTAAACACTTTCTTTTCTTTATTAAAGTGTATATTTATTTATTTTCCTCTACTGGCCTGAAT